AATGTATATTGTATAAATATATATGTATGGGCGATATCGCCGATAATGAAAATGGGGAAAACCCATCATTGCCCGAACAAAATCAAAGTCATAATCCGAACGGAAAATAACATGTACCTAAATAACTTAATAATAACATAATAATAGTAGTAATAATAAGAAATTAAATAAATATATATTTTAAATAGTGAATTCAAAAAAAATTACGTATATAATTTATTAAAACAGAATTAAAGTGAAGTTGATCAGTATAACTTTCGTCACAATTTACATACACATATATTTATATTCAACCGTTTATATTTTAGTTCATTTTTTATTAAAAATATATTGTAAATTTGAATATGATATATGCCTAAGCTTACACTAGTCATGGAAATACATCTGATGCGGAAAATGCAAAATTCCACAAAATTTCAAAAATGTTAACCACACGAACTTAAGAAATATTAAAAATATACATGATAGTAAATAGGGATAACTTAAACTAAGTTAATGTATGTATCATAGACACAATTAAACTTAACACACAATATTTTTTATTTTCTAGAGTAAAAGTGTGATTTACTTGTAACATCCCAAGTAAAACAGGGATTACTTAATAATTGTTCAGGTACAAACGAAGGGACTGGAGGTACAATCAGGTACAAATGAGGTACAAACGATTAGGACCGGTTCGGATCTGAAATTTGAAAGTGGGGGTGCAGGCATTTCCCCAGTGCCCCTACAATTAAAATAGTTATAACTTAAAAACTGTTAAGGTACAAACGAAGGGATTAGAGGTACTATCAGGTAAAAACGAGTTACAAACGATTGGGATCGGATTGTATCCGAAATTTGAAAGTGAGGGTGCTGGGGAAATGGACCTTTCAATCAAAACTTCATTAGGGAAACTATTAATTATATTCGTTTATGTTGTGCGTAAGACATATAAATGTGCCAATTGACTCACATCACATGAGATTTTATACTGCCTATTTTTATATTATTTTTTAGCTTTACATTATTTTTGAGCCAAAGGAATAATTGTATTTTTTCTATTCTTTCATAATTATGAGTTTAATTAATGTTGGGTATTATAATATTATAGTTACCGTACAGCAACATTTCGTAATTATCTCGTTTCACGCCACTAAATTATTTTCTAAATACATTTATTATTTCAATCATGTACTATTCTTGTAAATCAAACCAATAATTTCGCCAAACTTGTCTCCAAACAGTTATCATTTATTCCGTACACGATATTATTCTATAACCGTTATTACGGTTTATTGTTTAATTTAGTTTCCAAACACACACTTGCATATATATATATATATATATATATATATATATATATATATAT